TTATAAGTCAGATTTTTCACATTCCAACAAAGTGTAGCACTTGTACACCACAAAGTATAATTTCTGAAATTGGATTGTAGTTTTTGAACATCCCATGGGAGAGAGTTTGGAGACAACAGGGTGCTACACTGGGAATAAGGAGAGGACATGGGATGGGGGCCTCAGCCTTGGGCAGAGACTCACTACCAGTACCAACCACCTGTGTGATATTGGGAAAGACTCTCACCTATTCTGCATCCAAGTCTCCACATCTTCAGAGTGGAGGATATTATTAAACTATCAAAATGTAAGTATTAAATAAAATAATACATCTAAAGGATTCTGCCTGACACAAAGGAAGTACTTGATATATTTCATCAGTTTTTATTATGCTATTGCTTGGGTCCTTAGACAACTGTGACCTTGGGCATGTCCCTTTAGCCTCTCTGGCCTGTTTCTTTTTTCTTTTTTTTAAAGATTTTATTTATTTATTTGACAGAGAGAGACACAGCGAGAGAGGGAACACAAGCAGGGGGAGTGGGAGAGGGAGAAGCAGGCTTCCCACTAAGCAGGCAGCCCGATGCGGGGCTCGATCCCAGGACGCTGGGATCATGACCTGAGCCGAAGGCAGATGCTTAACAACTGAGCCACCCAGGCGCCCCGGCCTGTTTCTTCTTAATGATGGGATTGCACTATGGTCCTTCCCAGTCCTAACCATTTCTGACTATATAAAATCCTATACCCTAAATTGGATCAGACCTTAAAGTTTTTCAGGGCCAAATGCCAGACCAATTTCCTACATCCACTGAGGGTTGACAACTTCTCTGTGTGGTGATAACAGATCCAGTCCTTGGGACGGTTGGGCTATTCACTGTTCAAACATAAAACATCTCCAAAGTAATAATTCCCACCTTTGGGGTACAAACATTGGCATATTGTCAAGATATGAGGAGCATAAGAAGTTTTTTTGGCAGTAGCAGTTAAATGAACGTAATAATTGCAGTTAAATAATTGTTATTAATAATATAACTATATTACTATATGATATTATAAACTAGTTCAGTAATGATTATATGTTATAGACCTAGAACTTGAAAATGACTTGCTTTAAAATATATAAATTGGAGCTGAATCAAGTTTACTCCTATAATAATGTCACTTTATTTAATTTGTATTCCCACAACTTTCTCAAGAGAATCTTGGAAAAACCAAGAATACTTTGCTCATGCTAATGTATGTATTAAATGTTTTGTGTCAAGGAAACAGGTAGTTCCTAAGAGGAAACTTATGACATTATTTTAATAATTTTAAAGGGCAAATGAATCAATGAATAGACCTAATAAAATATTGATAGAGTCCATTCAATATGATTGAAAGTTAACTGAAAATGTTTGTCTGCCCAATTAGAGTCATAGAGACAAAACAGAGACGTTCTAAATTCCTCCAATGTCTCTGCATTCCACACCCACTAAAACATTCTGTTAATATGTTTTATCAAGTTTATACTTCAAGATACTTCTTTAAAAGCCATGGTTTGTTTGTAATAAGATTATAACCCTATTACTCTCAAGCTATTTTTCCTACAAATAATTCACAGGAGTTTCCTAAGTGTCCTTAAAGAACGTGTAAAATTATTACCTACCAGAAAATTGTGCCTAGGGAAATAGAAAAAAACTCATGAATGCCCTACACAGTGAGATAAATTCACAGATAAGCATCCTAATCTCATTATTACTAATTTGCTTTACTCATATTATTCTTTTTATTGTCCAGGCCAGTTCTCCAAGAAGGTCCTGGGAATAACTATCAGCAGTACATTGGGACTTGTTAGAAACACAAATTCTTGTGAGGTCCAGAAATCTGAATTTAACAAGCCCTCTGAGTGCCTTAGATAAATGTGAGTTTGAAAACCACTGGTAAAGCCCACAAATTAAATCATAGTATTTTAAAATATTGAACAAAGTGGCTCACTGGGAATTTGAATACAAATTTGGAGTAAAATTTTTAAAAAATACATTGAACAAAGGAAACAAAAAAATAATTTTGCATCCTAATTATTTAATCTACATTGTAAGAAGTTTTTACTATTAATTGTTATATATTATATTAGCAAAAACTGTGAAAAGCAATGTCATTCAGTGTTAAGATTAAAGAAAAACAGGCACTCCTGTATTTCTGAGGAATGTGTGAAAAGCTTAAAATAATTTTCATAAAGTAGTCCAGAAATCCCTACTTAAATAAAGACACATAAATCCTTTGACCCATGCAGCTCGTTTTGGGAAAATTACACTACAAAAAATAAAAGTGTCTGTATGTAAAGCTATCTGTGTAAAAGTATTTATGGCAACATGGTTTGTGGAGGCAAAACCATACTGGAGTAAAAATTGTAAGCAATCTGAAATCCCAGCAGTAAGGAAATGGTGAAATAAGTTGAGTGTGAAGGAGTAAAATGGTTTGTAGATGGATCAGAGTCTGAAGTAATGGTTGTAAAGGATGGAAAACAAGTTGGTCATACTTGTTTAGTATAGTCATACTATAGGATATGATTCAACTTTCAGAAAAGATGGATAAGTTCTAGTAATACTGTTAAGTTAAAAAAAGAAAGAAATGTACAGAATAATATGTCGAGTGTATACCCATATACATCACAAGGTACTACACCAGAAAACCTTGGGCGCCTGGGTGGCTCAGTTGGTTGAGCAACTGCCTTCGGCTCAGGTCATGATCCTGGAGTCCCTGGATCGAGTCCTGCATCGGGCTCCCTGCTCGGCAGGGAGTCTGCTTCTCCCTCTGACCCTCTTCCCTCTCATGCTCTCTGTATCTCATTCTCTCTGTCTCAAATAAATAAATAAAATCTTTAAAAAAAAAAAAAAGAAAACCTTGAAAGTTCTATAGATTAACACAGTAAAGGCTTGTATCTTTCTCACACAAAACCCATTCTGATCAGGAGGCCTCCTCCATCTCGAAGTTGTGTCACCCAGAACCTGGAGCCTCTAAGATTGCCCCAGCAGGGCCTGAGCCCCAAAGTGACTTATCATTTCCACTCAGACTTCATTGGCCAGCCTTTATCACATGAACCTTGCTGACAGCAAAGGAGAGACTGGCAAATGCAGAGGATAGTCACCGAGCACTGAGTGCCTCTTCTACCGTATATATTTGTATAGCTTAGGATGAACACATCAAATTATTAAAATAGTTGCTCTTGAACAGTGATAATAGGAAGATAAAGATTATGAACATTTCTATGTATAATATTTAACCTGTAACAATAAGCATATACCACTTTTATAAATGAAATAAAATTGTACTAAAATCAGGGATGTTTGTATACACAACCACCTTGACACCATACACACATGAATCTACAGATCAAACCTGCTAGGCCACCAGCGAAGAGGGAGAGTTTGAATGTAAGGGCAGGAAAAGGAAAAGTCAGCCCCTGTGTTTCAGGTTCCTGGGATGATAAGAGGGAATGGGACACAATATACAAACAGAAGAACTGATCTTTTTTTTTTTTTAAGATTTTATTTATTTGACAGAGAGAGCCACAGCGAGAGAGGGAACACAAGCAGGGGAGTGGGAGAGGGAGAAGCAGGCTTCCCGCGGAGCAGGGAGCCCAATGCGGGGCTCGATCCCATGACCCTGGGATCCTGACCTGAGCCAAAGGCAGACACTTAACGACTGAGCCACCCAGGCGCCCCAAGAACTGATCTTAATAAAAGAAAAGAAAATTCTTCTATGGTAATAAGAGGAACCAAATATAGAAGGGCCACAGTCAGAGGTGGTTTGCATCATTGATGTCTCCACCATGAGAAGTATCGCTCTCATTGCTCCTATAGTCTCTGTAAAAGAGAAGCCAAGGTTTTCTGTTGAGTGTGAAGGAGTAAAATGGTTTGTAGATGGATCAGACAGAGTCTGAAGTAATGGTTGTTAAGGATGGAAAACAAGTTGGTCAGAGAAGTATATCAGTGCTACCAGTGTAATCGACACAAATGTACCTCCCCAAATTTCATCAACAGCTTTCTTCTTTCAGAACTTTCCACTTGCCTCCAAGACCCCTACTCCACTCTCACTGTCATGGCTGCAGAGCCTCTGAGCTGGCTATTGTTCACATTGAAACCCAAGGTCAACTCCATGGTTGGTACACCTCACACACTGTGTAGTCCATGCTCTTACCCCACATTTTCTAGATTTGGGTAAAATAATATACTGCAAGGGTAGGATTTGGCTTCCAGAACATCCACCAAGGAGCTAGGTGGACAAGCCAAAGTTCAAGGTAATGATCTCTTGTCACGTGAAACCTGACCAATGGGAAACAAAAGATGGGATGGGGTCAGGCAGATGAGTCTCACTTCTCTATTTCTGCCATTTACCACTAAATGTGTAGTTCCTAGTCAAAGCACGGATCAAGAAAACATGCCTGCTGAGTGCCCTGATGTGTCTCTTCAAAACTTATCATGAAGTGGGACCCAGTGTGATGGTACATCACATTTTATTGCCCTATACGTATTTCCTTTGTTGGCTTTTCTTTTTGTTGACCCTTTATACCTCAGCTTGACTAGCACACACACACAAAAACAACAACAACAACAACAACAACAAAAAAAAAACCCTGCACCTTTACTTAGGCTCAGCTTTGAAAAAGAAGTGGATTAAAACAATTGGTACAGGAACTGTCTCCAGAAAAGGGATGCTCAGGATGGGAACTTGGCATTGAATTGTTCATTTGTGTAAAACCAACAGAGACCCTATTGGTGGGAATTGGGGTGATACTTAAGCTTTCGCCTGTGATTAATAGGAATGAAGAGTGTATAAAAAGCAAGGCATTGGGAAATCAGTGGCTGTGGCACTTAATCAGTATGGGAAATACACTAATATAAAAATGTGCATTACAGTAACAACCCTAAAGACCATGCAAGAAGAAGTGGTAGGCATAGAGATATCCCGCCCACTCCCCTCCAAAATGGAGCATGTTTTAAAAGCCAAATTACCTGAGTGGTAGCTTTAAAGGAGACACTTACCTTTGTATCTGCAGCAGACCGTACTGAGAATCAATCCCAGGATCTGGTGAATGGGTGACAGCTCTGCAATGGATAAGAAACGTGCAGCTTTCAGATGTCTTACGTTAGAGTCAAGATATCGGGGAAGAAAGAGTGGGACACTGAGATCTGCAGTGGGATATGTTGGCAAGAGAACCCAGTAATCTTGAAAGCCCAAATAATACTGAGCCATCTTTGCTAGGAAAAGCAACGCCTTCCCTAGAAACTGAAGAATGAACTCACCTGAAGAGGGTGTGTTGCATCATGAGGGAGGTTATCTCAGAGCATGGCCCCAGCATCCCTTTTTTTGCCAACTCTGGAGACTAGAGCTTTTTTCACTGACTCTCTTGGCTTAGTCATCCAGGACGTGAAGACTAAACACCACCTTGGAGAGGTCTCTGAGGCTGATTGGACTCTTCAAGAGACAAGCAAGGGCATCTCCAGTCTTAACACACAAAATAGAAGAGACCTGGATTTAAGAGAGGATCTAAGAAGGTCATGGAGGTACAAGTGGGAGACTGTAGTGTCCAAAACCTTGTTCCCCTCTGCATCAGTCAGGGGTTTGTAAGGAAATAACTGCGAGGTAATATTTGACATTATGCAATTATGGAGGCTGGTAAAACACTGTAAAATGGTTGTCTTCATGTCTGATGTTGGAACTGGAGGGCAGGCAGTAGAGAAGGAAGATGGATGCAAAATGGAGAGTGTGGGAAGCAACTGAAACCCGTGAGGACAATCTAAACCCCAACCTGGATGGAGCAAGTGTCCTTAAGGAAAAGCCGGTGCCTTTCATCATGGAACTAAACACACTTGGCCCAGAAGTGGAAGTGAAAGAAAATGCATAGGACAGTGGAATACTTGTAGGCAGGGAGTTGAGCCAGCAGATAAGCAACAACATATGTGAGCTATAAAAGCTCTTGCCCCAACCTTCTGTGTGTAAAATATAAAATGGCTGGTGCTTTACTTCTGTCTTTTTATATCTCACGTGAAAATGTCCTTTGTGGCCCATCTAAAAGGAAATCGAAAGGAAGAGGGATTCTGGGAAACGTATTCAAACGAGTGAAGCTGACACATTGCGATACCACCATACCCTCCTTAAATTCCTTGGATTATTACCTTTTCAAGAAAGGACTACTTGTCTCCAGTATGGTGCCGTACTCACCACTGCTGCCTTTGGCAGGTTTCCCAGGGTAGATGCTGGATACTGGGCCTATGTGGTTCCCCACCACATATACTGAGCTATCCATTCGAAGCCACCTTTCCACTTCCAGCCTTGAGTCAAATGCCACACCTTAGGGCTTCCTGAACATCCACTGAAGGGCAAGCAAATGCACCCCAAAAGGGCATGGGGAATGGGATATAAAAAGGAACTGGATGTTACATTTCCCCTGTTTTCTCCTTTCCACGGACTACTCTGAGATACAGATCTTTAGAACCCAACCATGGAAATTCCCTGCCTGCTGAGAGAACACGCCTGCTGGGTGACAAGACTGTGTCACCTCACAGCCTGTATGAAGCAGGCAGCGAACATGATAACTCATTACATTACGTTGTTTCACATTTGTTCACACTTCACTTCCCAACTTTTATATCCTCACCATCATCCCCATTAAGAACAATATATTAATCCTTGCCTCAAGCTCTGTGCTCTACAGAATCTGGGAAAAAAAAAAAAAAATCCAGGAAATTTGAAGACCCATATGAGGCTGTGGGTAATGAGTAAAAAACCATCTACTTTACTTTGGTGGTTCCTACGTTCTACCTTCTTGTTCAAGTGTAAACACAGAAAAAGAAGACTGGTTTATCCAGAGCTGAGTTTTGTCAAAAGCCTTCATGAAAAGACAAATATGCCACATCCCATACTTGGTATCAGTGAATGACATTTTAGACAGATTTTTTTTTCCTTCATCCTTTCCAAATGTTCTGCAGTAAAAACAAGTTTTGATGGAGGAAGAAGAGAAGAGTGTTCTGGCCTTCATCAGAATCTAGGGAACAACATGGACATAACGGACCCTTAGTAAAGAGAAGGAAACACCGTTCCAGGGGGTTCTCATGATGAAATGAAAGGTTTTTTTTTTTAAACTTTCTGCTTCCTCATTGTTTTGCCCAGGGTAGATTTGCATGTTAGCACAAGCATATTACGGACTTTTATTGTTTTCTGAAGAGTTAACCTACCTCCTGATTATAAGCAGAACACTTCTGGAAGATTCACTAGGATTTTCAGTTCCAAAAACGCCATTGTGATATGTAACTGCTATATGAGACAAAGAGGGCCTATATACAGACAATAGGAGAAAGAGCGGAAGCACTTTTCTCTACATTTTAATTAAACCAACGTTTATGGAGCATTCCTTATAGGCACATATAACGGATAGCACTGCTTATATAAAAATGAATTAGGACTGTAATTTCAATATAATGTGATGAGTGCTGTGAATGGGGAAAATATGAAGGGTTATGACATGCAAAGCATCTACTCCCAGGACTTCGAGAGTACTTCCAGAAGAAATGACAACTACCTGAGGTTTGAAGGGTAATTAGGGGTTATCCAGGCAAAGGAGAGGGGGAGGAGGGTTTCACAATGACCTTTGATGTGTGTTTATCACATCACGTACTAAGTAGTTAAATACGCTCCCAGAAAAAAAGTCTTATACATCATCTCTCAACCCCTCATTTCTTTACCTGCTTTACCCCTCAAAACAGAAGGACAAAAGAGAACAATGCCTTCATTTGACTTGAACATAAAGATGCTGTCACAGAGCAAAAGGTAACCAAACTTGAAGCTTTTCAAAACCTGGAATGGATTTTAAATTTAAATAAATGTATTTATATTCTAGTTGGAGCTGCTTTTCACAGATGCAGGGGTTTGTTGTTTTTTTGGTTTTTTTCAAGTACACTTATTTGTAGCCCAAGTAATTTCAGTAGCTAAATGTACATCTGGAACCTCATGAGGTGGTATGAAAGACAGAGAAACAGTGACAAAGAGTGAATGATTTGCACTTATTTACATATTGAAAAGAGTTTGCTTCAGGATTGCCGGTATATTATCAGCACTAAGTTTTGTTTTTTTTCTCTCTCTGAGAAGAATGAGGTCTCCTTCTGAGTAAGATAATAACATCACCTAGGCCGTTGTTCAAGACAACAAGGCACTTCCCACAATGCAACTGGAATTTCACCTGCCCCAGTACTTGCGCGTGGTTAATGACAGAGACACAAAGGAAGCCAGCCATGTGCTATCTTCTGTTCCTGAAAGCTGATTATTACAAGTTATATAAAACCAACGTGGTGAGATATGTCTTTTGTCTATTATTTTTGCCCATTTTCATTTTCTTTTCAAGTCTTCATTTGAGTCTTGAAGATGAACTATTAACAAACCACATTCTTCCATTCAATTTTGCAGTATTTTTCTAATTCCTGCCTGAGCATCCACACGGGCAGTTAAATGAATACCTTTTAACCTTTTTTGAAATACATCTGAACTATGCAGAAAGGTAAACAAACAAACAAACAAACCCTTAAACCACAGCAGGTTACAACCTTAGGGCAAGTCCTTGACGCAGGAAAGATTATTCTCATTTCATTTTTATGTGGTCTACACATTAAATCATTCCTCCTCCTGTCTCTTTCTCCTTATGTTTGGTATATTTTTCCAGTGACCCTTTGAAGTATCTAGTCTAGGACAAGATGATAATGGTTAGCGGATGCAGGCTACTCTTGGAAGGGCAAGAGGGTAGAGAGTGTGCCCTGCATCTTCTCAGATTCCACACCTTGTGATCAATAGTTAAATGGGAACCTCAGGCTTTGGGACAGTCCTGCCAAACTCCTTCCTCACCTCAACACCAAATTCTTTCCACCATTATACTCATCAGACACTTTAATATTGTTCACATCGATAACAGGCAACACCAGCTTAAAACCCATCCCATCAGACTATCCACTGCCCCTCATTCTTCTGATAACCCCAAGGTCACTCTTTCTGTCCCCTGAAGATTTTATCTACTGCTCACTGGCACTCCCTCCATTACTACCTCTTAAGCCATTATGGTCCCAATTTCACTTGTTGTCCTTTAGTAATTTTAAATAGACCCACATTTTACTCTTAAAAGTGTTCCCATTTGGTCAATAAATTATAGTCACCTTGGTCATGGTCATAATTACTGGTGTTTGTGACAGGCAAATAGATGATTCTTTCAATCCCCAAACTCTTCATTTTTTATTTCTTCTCCTTTGATGATATTGCCCTACAGCCTACCTTGATTCTTCATTCCCACGAGACCACCCTAAATCTTGTCATTACCAAACACTAACCCCCCTCCTCCCAAATCTTAATTTCAGTCTTCCCAATCTCTAACCTTTCCGATCTTTTCAAGTCTCACATATTATTACACCAAGCACAACAATTCTTTCTCCCCATTCCTGCTCACAGTTCTTTCCTTCTAAATTTTTCCTTTTCCCTCACTCCTGCACGTCCTCATTTCTCAACATATGCGGCTTACCCTAGTAGGTCATTAAAATCCCTCCACTACATATGCCCACTCTGGTTTCACGCACCCTTTTTCTTATTCCCTTGGTGAAACCAAAACCTTAGTTTCATCTTAGTTGAATTACACTCAACCTTAGTTAAGTTCCATTTTCTGCCCACTTTACGCTTGTACCTAAGTAGGTGAGTGAGATAAGAAGTTGAGAACAGACAGACACACACATACATACACAGGCTCACACACCCTCACACATCACTAATGGAACCATGCTGACTGTACTTACTTGAATTTGTCATCGCTCTAAGTGCGCCCATAATGCTATTCGGCAATTTTACTCTATTTCCCCAGACCATTTACTCTCCTGCTCACCTAGATGATTCCATGCAGTCTCCCCTGTACTCAAATTTTGAAACGCTCTTCCCTCTTCCTCTCTCTCAGCTGATGAACTTGCTTCCTATTTCAGTGAGAGAAAAGAAGCAATCAGAAGTGAACTACTGCAAGTTCTCTCGGCTCCCCGCATTTGTGTCCACATGGTCCACCACCTTCTCTCTCTCTCTCTCTCTCTGTCTCTTTTTAACTTTATAAGCTCTAGAAAAGGCCAACCCTTTCAATCATCTGTTCGATCTCACCCAATGACCAGTAATACCAGATCTCACCTTTTCTCCTAAGTAGAGATGAGACACGGGAAAAAATAATATTTTAAGAAATACAGGGTACACTGAGAGAATGTGACAGAAGTCACAAGAAGCGGGGCACCTGGGTGGCTCAGTCATTAAGCGTCTGCCTTCGGCTCAGGTCATGATCCCAGGGCCCTGGGATCGAGCCCCGCATCAGGCTCCCTGCTTGTCGGGAAGCCTGCTTCTCCCTCTCCCTCTCCCACTCCCCCTGCTTGTGTTCCCTCTCTCGCTGTGTCTCTCTCTGTCAAATAAATAAAATCTTAAAAAAAAAAAAAAAAAGAAGAAGTCACAAGAAGCATCTGCTGCAGTCGTGATTCCTGCTCTGTACTCAGAAATGAGAGAACTATCCACAAGATGAGTTTGGGATCCAACTGGATCTCCTGGAGATAGAATCAATCCAAAAGAGTAGGCTCTGGTGGTTACGATATTGTTTGTTAGTTTGTATTCATCTAGATTTCCCATGATCAATTAAGTACTACTAAAGATTCATGTGGCTTAGATTATTTAGTTTACCAGATTGGTTTTGCTGTCTATTACGGTGACTAGCTCTCTTTGCTTTTAATAGTCAAGCTATTAACTTACCTATTAACTAAATTGCTTCTTGGCCTTTGCCGTCCCCTGGGTATTTACTTTCCATCAAAATCACAGAGCCCATTTAAACTGCAGTGTTCCCGCCAGCATTCCCATAGTAGAGCGAAGAGCCAACAAAGCTCTTCATAAAGATGCTGGTGCTGTCATTATCTACATACTTATCAAGGCTCTCATGCAGGAAATGCTGCAAGGCCCACTCAGCAATGAGCAATGATAAATCCACACCAGTAATTCTTTCTTCCACAACATATCAAAGTAGAAGAACAAAATCTTATATGGTGTTATAAAGCTAAACTATTAGTCATGTATCAATTTTATTTTCAAAAATAAAAGAATGCATTATCAGTACGTATTAGTTCAATTAATGATCACAGGTAGGGAAGTCATATTTAGCAGGTTAATTTTCACAAAGTTAATGAGCAAATTTAATCTACTCTAGTAGATTAAATCTTTTTCACTTCTAGTAGAGAAGTGAAAAAACCATAATTCTTTACAACACACATTTTAACAAATGTAGTTTTCCATAACAAATGTAAGATATTTATAAATTAATAAGTTAGCAGTCCTGGGAAAGCAACCATTCCACCAGTTTCCAAATATTATAGGAAAATCATTTTGCTCTTTTTAGTAAACAAGTATAGAAATTCAACTTCATGATGACTAGAAACAGATTAAGTGTGAATTTAACTCAAGCTTTATAATGAATGGTTGGTAAGCAATCTCTAAATTTCTCCCTCACCAAAAGTAACGACTTTTCCATTCTCAAAAGCACCTGCGTCAATGCCATCACTACATGTTTTTCATTAAGTATCCTTGAAATGTGTGGTCGAAGTTTCCAATTAGAATTTTAACCATAGCGGGGCGCCTGGGTGGCTCAGCTGGTTAAGCAACTGCCTTCGGCTCAGGTCATGATCCCGGAGTCCTGGGATAGAGTCCCACATCGGGCTCCCGGCTCAGCGAGGAGCCTGCTTCTCCCTCTGACCCTATCCCCCCTCATGCTGTTTCTCTCTCTCTCCCTCTCTCAAATAAAAAAAAAAAAAAAAAAAAAAAAAAAGCTTTAGAATTTTAACCATAGCTAAATAAAATGATTTATGGTTTTTAATATTTTATTTTACAAAAATTAATTTCTGACGATTTCCCTTAGAGTGGGGCCCCAGTGTTCCATCAGCCAGAGGAGCAAATGGCTCCTTGAGCTACCTATCCAGTCACAACTCTGGTAGGTGTATACACATGGCTAAATTCAGCCCGAGCATTTTAAAATGTCTCTTTCTTTTTGGATATGAAACTTCAGAATTCATTTCCCCATAGATTCCTTAGATTTTTGTTCCTATACATTACCAGAGTTGTACGATTGTTAGTTTCTCACTTCTCCCCAGATTTGATTTTATAGTTGGACCCATAGGTCCTGTTAGGATTTGATTGTACCTAATGGTTGTTCAGAGGGAAGGAGGCACATGGAGAACTGAACTGTCCTCCTTTTGCGAGGCAGCTCCCATAGATGAGGGAGGTGTAATATCTTCAAGCAAGAGAGGATATCTTTCATCAAACAGGGGGAGAGATGTGCTGAAGTGATCAAAAAAGGCTCAGTGGGGGATGAGAGTCCTTCAGTTACTCTAATTGGTCCCCATCTAAATGGCTGAGGACTACTCTTACCTAATGAATACTCTAACATTCACAAAAGTGACTTGGTGAAGCTGTGATTCAAATAACAATATATTTCAGCAATATGCTACATCAAATTTTTAGCTTCAGTTTAGTCACCTTAGCTCTGTAACTAACAGATCAAAAGCTCCTATTGACAGAGTCATGGTAAATCCCTTGTTTTCAGTGTATCCCTGTGACAAGAACTTCTGGATGTGAGTTTGGTTATTCTTACTTTAAGCTGTGCAGCCTTATTGGAAGTAGCTATTGCCATTTATAGGGCAATATGGCAAAATACCACGATCCCTCCAAACCTTGACCTCAGTAAGCACTTCTCTCAAGATGACTGCTGATGATAATTTAATTAACTTCCTGGCCACTGCTGGGAGTGAGCTTCCAGAGTATCACCACTGGATGTTAATGGGATTTTCACGACCTGTACCAAACCCAGAATGGATGACCCATCCCGGATTCCCTACGGCCTTATTTTCCTGAGGGAATTTCACCTGAAACCCACTCTTTTGTGCCAAAATCTATCCATTCCGTGTTCTTAAGTGCAAGAGAGACAACAAACTCTGGTGAATTTAAATAGAAAAGGAATTTGTTATAAGGGAACGGGTAGGTCGTGGGATCAGTGAGATGCCCGGAAAACACAGGCTTAGATGGCAGGCAGGCCAGTGTCTCAGGAAGGCTAGCTGGTGGGACACAGCCAAGGTGACACACAGAATAATCACAGCTATGCCTCTGGTTGAACCACCACTTGACACACGCCACCACAGCTGCTTGAACTTCGTGCTCCCTTTATGAACTCCTCAACTTTCCTTAAATATTTGAATTGTTCTCTTAGGAGACAAAAGTCCTGGGTGGGAGCATCCAATTTGATAAGCCCACCCCATGTCCTCTTCTGTGGCTGAAAAGGATCATCCCTTAAATACAAGGTATATGGACATTGTCTTGCCATGAGAAGGCAAATTTGTACTTACACAATAAGCAGAAACAAAATAAATTAGGTACTACCTTGTCCCGTATACAGTGAAAAACTAAAATATGTTTAAATAAATATAACAGGGGCGCCTGGGTGGCTCAGTTGGTTAAGCGACTGCCTTCGGCTCAGGTCATGATCCCGGAGTCCCTGGATCGAGTCCCGCATCGGGCTCCCTGCTCGGCGGGGAGTCTGCTTCTCCTTCTGACCCTCCCCCCTCTCATGTGCTCTCTCTCTCTCTCTCATTCTCTCTCTCAAATAAATAAATAAAATCTTTAAAAATAATAATAAATAAATAAATAAATAAATAAATATAACATAAAATATAGAGATCTTTTGTGAGAAAAAAAACCACAACATTTTACTGAATGACATAAAATAAGATCTGAATAAATGGTGAGATATATCATGCCCTTAGAAGGGAAAATCACCAGAATAAAAATCCCTAAATTCTTATGAAATTTTATCATTAAATCCAAATAAAGCACAATAATTTTTTTCAGTTTTTTTTCCATTGACCTTAGTAAGCTAATTCTGTAATTATACAAAGACATGTGGAAGAATTACCAGGATAATTTTGAAAAATAAAATGGTGGCAAGGGAATCACACTACCAAATACTAAAAGTAATTATAAAGGTATAGAAATTAAAATAGTATCATATTAGCCAAAAATATAAAGTTAATAGCAAGCAAATGAATGGAACAGAATACAAGTCCTGAAATTCTTTTGTACATACGGAAATATAAGGTCTAAGAAGAGTATTATTTCAAATCAATGGGAAAGAATAAATACTTGATAAATTTTGGGGGCAATCTGCTGACAATTTGGGAAAAGATCCCTATCTCACACCATTTATAAAAATAAATTCTACTTAAATAAAACATTGTAAAATGATATAGAAAAAATAAATATATTTTTACATGTCTTAGGAAGTTCTTAAACAAGCATAGCAAAAACAAATGTAAAAAGACTGAAATATTTGATAACCAAATTAAAACTTTTTGATGCAAGACACCGCCATTCATGTTAAGGGAAGGGCTGGCCCGGGAAAACAAGATTTTCCATCCAAAATATTGAAAATATATAAAGTGCAGACATAAAGAACAATGAACCCAGAAGGCAAATGGGAAAAGCTTATGAGCAGGCAATTCAAAGAGAGAAAAAAGTCAAATGATTAATAGAGCATATGAAAGATGCTTCATCTCCTTAAAAACAAAATAAGATAACAACAGGATACCATTTCTCACCTACTACTTTGCAAAAATTAAAATGTTGTTAAGGATGTGGGTAATGGGGACCCTCACATCACCCTCACACTATTATAAGTATAGGCAGCAGTATGAAGACCAATTTGAGAGTGTCTATTGAACGTAAAATGTGTAAACCTCCAGAAAACCTACTTTGTGGGGCGCCTGGGTGGCTCAGTCGGTTAAGCGACTGCCTTCGGCTCAGGTCATGATCCTGGAGTCCCGGGATCGAGTCCCACATCGGGCTCCTTGCTCACTGGGGAGCCTGCTTCTCCCTCTGACCCTCTCCCCTCTCATGCTGTTTCTCTCTCGCT